TGATTAAATGCAACTAAAGTAATCTATTGACATATCCTACAGGGAACCTTTGCATGCGACACAGGCACATACTTGAGAAAGGATTTTAGGCCATCTTTGAGTTGATTTTGAACCTTAGTCATTGCTTCTACAAAATTATATCCCTAGTTAGCCATGTTTGAGCCTTCAATGAATGATGATTTTTTTTTTCTCGAAAAACCCATATGATAACCGAGCCAAAAAAAAAAAAAATACACTTAACATACCTTGCTATCCAATTTTTTCTTGCACCCTCTTATAAATCGGTATGACATAGAAAGGCAAAAAAAACAGAAAAGAAGATGGTGGCTACTGTTCAACGAAGAATCAAAAAAAAAAAATGAAAGAAAGAAATACCATTTCTAGGCAAAAGACTGAAAAGCAAGAAAGAGGTGTGCTACATTAAAAAAGGGGATAGCTTTTGAATACCATTGACGTCGTTTCATTAGCCACTAACCTCTGGCCACATTACAACCTATAGAAAGTCCTAATTGATCTCAAGTCTAATGCATGTGTGTGTTGTCGACCGAAAACTGGGGTATGTTAAATAGTATTTCTTTAATTGCATTGATATTCTTCCATGAGATTATGCCAAGAACATGATTAGCCTACTTTCTTAAGACTTTCACTCCCTTTCTAACTGTGCATGTGATTCTTCGATTGACCATCCTCTGATCACATGCCCTTTGAGAGACAAGTCACTATAATCGGAGTGAATTTTTTGCTGAGAGCATTCTAAGAGAGATTTGAGAAATCAAAGCTATCCATGGAAGGTGATAAAGTAGAATGTTTGTTATATAACAATTCTTGCTACTAGAATGATCATTCCTACTACACAAGGAATTCCAAATACCAATGTAACAAGTGTTTATTTTTGTATAGAGTACGTACCAATGACAGAGAAGTGTTCGGGAAACAATTCAAAAATTAAGAGATGTGTGCCTCAATGATTCTGTTGCTAACTCATTTTGACAAGAAATCTTACATATACACATCTTTTAATTGGAGTTTGTAGGTAGCTTCACTGGAAACCTTCACGAGACAAAACTCGTCCACTAGGGATCACCTAGGGGTTTAACGGCTTATTGCATATGCTAAATGCAATCGTGTTATCTACGAAAGTGATTTTATTTTGTTATGTTGTTTATTACTAGGGACTAGTAATATTTAGGTTGGGGGGTGTGATTAACCCTAATTAAGGCATAATTTAATAGGTAAATTGTGTTAGTTGAATAAAGTTAAACTAGTCAAAATAAATCAAATTAGAATTAGTGTGTGAATAAAGGATAATGCATTAATTGTTGTTCTTTTCAGGATTTTGTGCGTCAAAGCTACAAACTACTGGGGAGCCAATTGCATTAAAGCTACAAACTACTGGGGTGCCAATTATCAAAGCTCAAAACAAAGGAGGATCAAAGAATTCAAGGCCACCTAACAAGATTTTCAAGTCCACCTAACAAGATTCAAAGCCACCTAACAAGATTTTCAAGTCCACCTAACAAGACTCTTCAAGTCCACCTAACAAGATTCAAGGCCACCTAACAAGACTTTCACCCTCCCTTGTTGCCTATAAATACCACCCCTTAGGACTTGTAAAACATTCATCTTTTGGTAGTGGAAAACCCTCCAAAAGTATTATTGCTTTCCTTATTGCTTATAGCTTTCTTTAAGTATTGCTTTCTTTTATTGTATTCTTGCTTCCTTTTAATTTATTGCTTTCTTTTACTTTAAGTATTGCTTTCTTTTATTGTGTTATTGCTCTTTTACTTCCATTGCTTGAGCTTCCTTCTTCCCTTAGAGGAGTGAAACTCTTCCACTTTTCTAGAGCTTTACCAAAGCCGTGAAGGGTGGAACGTGATTCACTCATTCTTTGTCGAAGATCGGCTCCTTGTGTAAAATTTGTTACCTTGTAACTCCTCTACTTGGAGGGATGAGCATCATTCACTTTTCTAATTTTAACAAAGCCATGAAGAGTGAGTAGTTTCTCATCCAATCTTTAGTAAGAGGTATTAATCCGGAAGTTAAATTTATGCAATTCGTTTATGCTTGGCTTTAGTCTTTATTTTTTTATAATGTCTTCTCATCATATTGTTGTCTTTATTTTAAGCATGAATAGCTAAATCTCTTAGTTGGCAAAACCAAGAGGAACCTCCACTTGGGTATACCATTTCAACTCATTCTCCTCCCCTCTTTTCAGAGTTCAATGGTTCGGTTTGACTGGGTTGAGGGTGGATAACTTGGTGAGTCTTTGATATTCCGTAGGCCTAGTCACGGTTTATGCTTAGATACTCACCAATCTTACCCCTAGCTTCCCACGAATGAATACTAGCATCAAAACAACTTCACCAAACAACTTCCAACAATCAAAGATTTTACACTTTCTTTCTCCCCAAATCACCTTCCCCTCGGTTTACTTCCTTCCCCGTGGAAACGACCTTGAAATACCACCAAATAAAACACGATCCGCGAAGGTCTCCTTGCGCTTGGGAGCACTTTTGTTCACACACTCACATTTGAAATCTCATTCATCCACCATTTCGTTGCCCTTTCTTTTGACATCATCCCTAGGAGAGTGACACTCCCCTTTATTCATATCCTATACATGCTAAAAGGTGATGTTTATAGGTTAGAAAACAACAAGAAAATTTGTCAAGCACTCACTCATGCACCTTATCCAGAGTCCTCACCAGCTCCCACAACACAATGCAATGCATGTGTGTAAAACATTTGTCCTTGATGAAATACATCCAAAGATCATTTTGAAATACAATCATACGTTCATAAAACCCATTCATTGTTAGATGTTTCCCATCAAATGAATCATTTATATAACCAAAACCATGTGTCTTTGTTGGGTATTGGAGTTTGGAATCACACCGCTGGCTCCGTACGCCATTACACTTTTCCAGAATTTTATCTCAGGGGAGTGTATGAACCAAGTAACTGGGTCTTTCACTCGAGGAAGTGTATAACCCTTTTTGTTATACTCAACACAAGTTTTTCATGTATGCAATCGTGCGACTCAGTGGAATCTTCAATCCCACTTTCCTGAGCCCACCTTCAACTACCATATATGATGTTTGAATCAATCACGTCCACACACATTCACACTCATGCCTAAAACCATGAATGTGATTTCATATCATGCCCAAAATGTAATGAATGCCAAATGAGCCATTTAACCACATATTTTCACTTATGTCATGACAATTAATATCAATTGCATACAATTACCATAAATCAACATGATGCTAATATATTAACACATGTAACAACTTATTCATCCTCAACAAAGTTCACATAGTACTTAGAAAAACACCAAGAAGGCAACAATAGAATGCATAGTATGCCCAAAAATGTTAAGTTTCAAGGGATTACATAAGTACTTCCTCAATACCGAACTTTGCTAGGAATTGATCTAGGCCAATTCCATACCCATTTCCTCCTTTTTTTTAACCATAGTCAAGTGACTTAGGTTATCCCATACCCTTACCCATTTCATAAAATATTCTAGGTAAGAAAATAAACCAAGGTAGGAGAAACCCTACCTCTTGGAGCGTAAATAGAAGGTAGAAACTTCAAGAACTCCAACACCACCCCAAAAATTTGATTTTTTCAAAATTCATTCTTTGAATTTTCGGTGAAATCCATCGTTCTTGGTACGTACGCGTAGCCCTCGTCGTGTAGACCAACTTTAATTATTGGTTCGATGAATTCTGACCGACGGAACTCCTTGGATCGTAAGAAGAAAGGTAAAATTTTAGATTTTCTCTCCTCTCCCTTTTCTTTCTTCAACGTCTGATTCAGCCGGCCAAATGGGGTGAAAATATATGATTTTTCAGATATTTAACCCCTATTTATATTTTTTAATTGTGCGGTCCACATTGCCTCGCACATTTATTACTTTCGGATTCGTTTTTAACCCAAAACGTTTTAATTAATTCCTAGTTTCAGTTCAAATTAATTTTATTTAAAATTTTATCTAATTATAAGGAAATTTTATAAAATTTTTTTGGGGATCTTTGTGAGGTTATTCGTCATCTAATTATCTCGTAAAACGTGTAAAATTCGACTATCTCAGAATTCGATGAAAATTGAAATGACAACTTGATTTCGTGATACAAATTCAACGATGAGGTTTGTTGCATCATCCGAGTTTTACCTTTTTTTTCAAAAAAATTTAAATTTAACCGGGTTTTACAATGTCAGGATGTTTCTTTCTCCAAAATGCATGACAAAGTTGAGTAATGTGATAGTAATCCTTAATACTTAGCAATGGACCATAAACCTCACGAGTATCACTAGCCATTGTTATAATCGTCTTACCATATATCAATGGCACATAGAGTCATTTGACGAGCTTTCTCGTTAACCGAGATTCTATGAGAGCATACTTATTATTATCCAATCTTGAATGCAAGAACTCTTGAAGTTCATCTTTCAAACACAAATACAAATCTTGGATTACCTTTTCAGGAGGTGGAAGAAGATTCATTCGCCTACCCATTTCAGCATTAAGCAAAAGATAACTCCTGATTTGATAAGCACTAGCAGATGCATCTTGAGTCACTGGAACCCTATTCAAACCGCGAATTCTTTCGAGATCACTAACTCTTTCATTAGACAGAACCTTTGCTAGGAATTGAAATGGATCACTAGCTTGCAGTGCTAAGTGAATGAAACTTTCTTCCGATTCAATCATTTCTTCACAGTTTTGTATGTCCCACCAAAAAGATTTATTTAACGATGAAATGTCTTATACTTATACTTAAAGGCTGCTGTTGCACATGCTAATTTCATTCTTAGAGAAAGCTCCTCACGCTTGCTTAGTTCTGGTGCTTTAGCAATAGAGGCAAATAAAATAAAACTTTTATCCAAATCACGCTCGTGAAAATGCAATACAATAGAGCGGTAGATTCTACCACGGAAGTCCATGAATGCAGGCAGATAAAATTGATAACCAGCGTATGCTCTCGCAAGAATTAAGACGAATTCTTCAAACCTAGCTCGCTGCACCCGTCTAAAATTGCCATTGAGATGCCAATGTCAGCCGTAGCTAATGCAGGGGCATCATTCATGCCATCACCAATCATGGCCTTGTCCTCTGGTAGAAGTTCTGCATGAACTACCTACCTCTAAAGCATTCCCTAACTGGTTTCCCTTCCATTAGAACAATTCATCTTCGTAGCATTAAAATGTCAAGAATATAAAGGTGTCAATGAGTGTCAAGGACTTGTATTCGATCAATATCAACTGCTTACAATGTATTTAAGATTGACTCATTGCACATGAATGGCAAGTGAACTATAGAAATTAAAAGCTATATGCATCACCTTATCTTGTGCATGCCTAGCTGCTGCATGACAATCTCCTGTAAGCATAGCTGTTTTAATGCCCATTGTTTTCAATTCTTTAATCACCTCTTGGACCCCAGTTCGACAAACATCAGAGAGACTGAAAATTTCAGCACGAAGAGAATTCAAGAATATGTATCCAAAAGACTTTCCTTTTGTAGCACCACCTTCTAAGATTGGAACTGGAAGTTCGAAGTTTTAAATGATTAGAACAAAGCAAGAAGAAATAAGTGCTCAATATATTGCACATATACATGTGATTAAAGATGGTGTAATATAAAAAAACTAATCATTGAAGGTCTAAATTGAGAATTGTGGAATCTTTCTATGTATAAAGTTGATGATTTAATTTCGTGCTAGTCAAGCAAAGGTGGGAGACCTATCAAGGCCGCCTAATATACGTTGAGGCCTAAAACGAAAATAATAATTAAGTTTTTTTTTAGTATTAATAAATTTTTAATTTTTTGAAATATAAAATATATGACTACTAGTGCTACCATTGGTTTGGCAGTGCATCTCTACTCCTAAGTTCTCTGTTAACGTTAATGCTGAACTTGTTGGGTTCTTCCCTAGCATGAGAGGCTTAAGGCAAGGTGATCCTATTTCCCCTACCTCTTTGTGATTGCAATGGAGGTATTATCCCTTACTATTAAGCAGCATGTCCCCTCTACTAATGCTTTCAAGTTTCATTGGAGATGCAAGGATGTTAAACTCACCCACCTTATGTTTGCTGATGACATTTTGCTCTTTTGTCACAGGGATCCTTCTTCTACAAAGGTATTCAAAGACTCTTTGGACAAATTCCAAGCTATGTCTGTGCTGCAAGTCAACCAAGCTAAAAGCAGTCTCTTTATGAGTGCTATCAATAATGAGTTTAAGGACCAAATTGTGCATCTTTTCGGCTTCCCTCTGGACCAGCTCCTTGTCAAGTACTTGGGCATTCCACTGATATCCACTAGACTGAAAATCCTTCATTGTAATGAGCTCATCATTAAAATTGAGAAGAGAATTAACTCTTGGACTAACAGATTTTTGTCCTTTGCTGTAGATTGATTTTGATTCAGAGTGTCATTCACAACATGCATACTTATTGGTTTGCTCACTTATTCCTGCCTCCACAGATCATTGATAGAATCGAATAGCTTATGAGGAGATTTCTATGGAATGGGAATGATATGAGAAGAATCGGTGCTAAAATTTCATGGGATGATGTCTGTAAACCTAAGGAGGAGGGTGGGCTGGGTATAAAAAGGATCAAAGATTGTAACATTGCTATGATGATGAGGTATATTTGGTTGTTTTTTACTGATAAACAATTTGTGGGCTAAGTGGGTTCACATTTATCACTTAAGGGGCAGAAGTTTCTGGAGAATCAAAGCTTCGCAGACTTGTTCTTGGAACTGGCTATGCCTGCTCAATTTAAGGCCCTTTTCCAGGCCATTCATCAAGTATGTGATTGGTAATGGTCAAAACACAAAGTTATGGTATGATAATTGGCATCCTTTGGGTCTCCTGGATTTATTTGTTGGTATGAATGGTATTGAAGAGGCTCTGTTTAATTTGGAGGAACCTGTCAGCAGTATTATACTTAATGACCAATGGCAATGGCTTCTTTATTCCAATCCCCCACAGGAAGTGGCCATTTCCATGTCTTCCTATCTCCCTAACTCTGCTCTTGAGGACTCTGTTAAGTGGATCCCTAATGGCAGAAGGGGATTTAGTGCCAAATCTGCTTGGGATCAAATCAGAATAAGGGTTTCCCCTGTTTGCTGGTATAAACTTGTCTGGTCCAAAAATTCTATACCTAAAACGTGTTTCATTCTTTAGCTTGCTGTTAGGAATAGACTCAGCACCCTTGATTGTATGCAATCCTTCGCTGCCCACTTGGGTATTGGGTGTATTCTTTGTAGGTCCTCTCCTAAATCCCATTCCCATATATTTTTTACTTGTTCTTACTCCTCTAGTGTTTGGTCTACTATTTTCTCACGTGCTGGGGAGTTATGGCAACCTAAGCCTTGGAATGAATTTGTTAACTGGGCTGCTCTTAACTGGAAGGGCAAGTCAATGAAGAAACTGATATGTAGAATCTGCTTGGCTGCTACTGTTTACCACATGTGGATGGAAATGAATAATAGAAGATTTAGAAACCAGTTCAAGGACCCTAATTCTGTTACCCATCTTATCCTACAGACTATTTGGAGTAGATTGGCTTCCCTCAAATTCAAGCCCTCCTATAGAAATCTCCATACTATTCAGTATTAGAGTCTTCCAACTAGTTGCCTTTCCTAGTGACACTCCCTGTGGCTTGGTGGAATTTGTCTGGTTGTCGTCACTGTCTACTGCTACAAATGCACTGCTTAATTTGGGGTTCCATGGGTTTCTTGTTTTGATTTCTATTATCTATGATGATTTCTACTGGTGATCACTGCTGGATTTGTTGGTTTTCTTTTTGACCTCATATTGGTTGATGTTGATGTAAATTTACACATGTTGCTTTAGACCCTCATGTTGCTGTTGGTCTAAGGTTGCTGGTTTTCATATTTGGATTATGGATTTCTTTATATTGGTGGGTGGTGATGTTCTCTACATATGCTGCTTATGATCCTCACGCTACTGCTGTTTTCTTTTTTCTTTGGGTGGCTTGTATTTGTTCAGACATTTCAGGAAATGGTTTCTTTTATTCAATGTGCTTCATACATCAATGTCTACAATTTTTTTCAGATCTGGTTCTCTGTAGCTATCTCCGATTGCCCTATGGACTATGGTTCTGCTGGTTCTGTTTTCTGCTGGAATTTCTCTTGCACCTGTGGTGGTCCTTCAAGGCGGAGCTGCTGTGTCAGATTCAACATTCTCATAGGAAGGCATGGGATTACCTTCCCTGGGCTATCCTCCTCATTTTTCTTGGTGACTTTTGGTTTTCGTTGATCGCCTTTCCTTACTTCTATTTTTTTCCTCTTGCGCTTCATGGTGGTTTCTGTTGGCTTTTGCTTGCTAATGTGTTGCTTTATAGAGGGAGGCTGACTCTTCTTATTCCTGGTTCTCTGCATCTGGCGCTTGGCTGGAGGACTGGTTCATGCGCTTATTTCCTGCACTTATTTCCTTGTTGCTCCCCGATGTTGCTGCTTTGCCCCTTCAGCTTTGGTGATTGTTTGTTGGTACTGACGGCTTATGTTGTGGTACTGATGTTGGTGCATTGATGTGTACTGTTGGTGCCTCTCCTGCTTGCCTCTCCCTTGTTGCTAGGGTATGGATTGTTCTGTGCAGATATGGATCCAGTCTGAAACCAAACAGTCTCTCCTGTTTGTCTAGTTTGTTACATTATTCTCTTGTTTGTAATTCTGTGGGTGATACCCTACTCATTTATAGGGCATCCCTTATAGAATTGTGTTTACCATGTATTTATTTTTTGGTCTCTGAGTCCTATGCGACTTCACTGTTCTTTTGTGGGTGATTACCCTGTATATTTGGTTTTATGAATACATTTTACTTTCCAAAAAGAAAAGACTGTCTCACAAATCTTTGGCATTAAATCAACTAGTACAAGGCCCTTTGACTTCAAAAAAAAAAAAAAAAGATTAAAGTAAAATGCTAATATACTAAAAATTATAATTTTTTGATGTACAAATTACAATTACAAATGACACGATCAATTTTCAAGTTTTATGATTGATAATGAAAGTTATAATTCTTAAAAATCAAATTATAATTTTTAAAATCAATTATAAATAATCTCAAATGTTTGTAATTTTATATTTAAAAGTTATAATTTAACCATAAACGATAATAACTTTTGGTATGTCACCAAAAAAATTTGTAGATACGAAAAATTTAAATTTTGTTTTTTTGAACGAGGCGGTTGTCTCAAGTGTCATTTACTAGTGTTAACGACCTATTTTTTAACTCTAGTTGGCCGGTCAAAATCATATAAAAAAAGGCACCCAAGATATCCGAAGTTGACCGGTCTCTCTCATCCTCTCTCAACTCTAGACTAAGGCGCTGTTTAATAACACTACTATTGATTTTGACAACAAATTAGGTTTAGAATAGATTTGATCCCATGATTTTCATCCTAGATTGGCTTTCACATGTTAAAATTGCAGACACAAGATCTCTAGGTCAATTTACGGTTTACATAGACATCATTCTATGCAGTCTCATCATTAGTTTGAAGATATAATCTTTATGGCCTTCCACCAATGTTGTCCTAGATAACAGCACTTAGGGTTGGGACCTTGGCTTGTTAGAAAAGACCTTTATATGTATTTTTGTTATTTTCTCATGCTAATGATACATCAACCATAATGACAAATAACATGTGCAAAAATATACAAAATGAGTATGGACAATCACAATCATACGATTACAATTCCATCAATCATGGGATTTTTTTTTAATTAATAAGTACGAGACTATATAAATCTAAAACTTCATAACTCTAAACCCTTTCATAACGAAATCTGGAGGCTGTGCTGTCATTTGCACGGCATTACATGAAAAGAAGAGAGCCCAACGTAGCCAAGCGATGAATTGCTGACAAAGTGATACAAGTTCGCGACATGCACATCACTCGAAATAATGCCGGCAATTCATCCTTGGCTCCTTTGCACTCTCTTCCGTTTCAGGCAATGCCTTAAAACAATCTCTAACTTAAGCTTTGCATTGCAGCTGGTTTCCACTGAAAATAAGAAGCAGTGTAGTTGGGATATATATAGGAAAGGCAAAGTTGACGAATGCATGCACTTAAACAAAACAGGGTGGTAGGAAAAAATATTAGGCGTAACCGTTACATCATGTTATTGTGTTGATATAGTGTAATCGTCCATTAATAAGATAACATGTGGGTATCTGATCACACATATTCTAGTAATTACTCTATCATGTCATTTAATAATTACCTAAATGAAGTTTACCTGCTCATTTATAGATTTATTATTGAATGATAATATTACGTATTAATGAGAACGTCACGTAACTATTACATCCAAATATTTTATCGAAGGAATGGGAATGGATATATATTCTCAGTACTGACTAAGTTTTTAGAATAGCATGTGACTGCCATATTATTCAAAGTTGGTGGCTAAATGGCTCAACATGGGCACCCATAATATTCTTCTTTCATCCAAAAGCTTTATTCAGTTGGTCAGATCAGCATTATATTTGTGGTCCCAGCTAAAGATTTGGAATGGTTGACATTGTTAGGACTGTTGGCTTATGGTAGGAATATAGAATCTAGAGAGAGAAAGAGGGGGGAGGGGGAGGGGGAGAGGGACTTACGGTTAGAATTTAAGTATTCCATTTCAAAGCTTTCTTCTTAAATGGTTCGAATATTTTAATATTTCTTTTCATTTTGGTTTTAGTTTTGGCTTTTATTTCTTTATTATAAGTGATGAACGTTACAATTTATTTAATTTTAATGGCACATTTGATTAATGTTCATTATATGCCCGTTATGTTATGGCCATGAGTTCGCCACCCCCATATTCTTGACTTTGTCACCTTTATATTTCGGGGCTTGTGATTACTGACAAGTGTTGTTTTTGCAAGTTATTGGCTGGTTCTTAGATTCAATACGATATCTAGAGAACTCAGCTGTATTTATAGCAGTTGTTGGATGCTTCTAGACTTGCAGGCCAACTCATTTCAATACCTGTTATCTTTGCTTTACATTCTGGTTTATGGTTTAACTCTAAATCGCATACTAGTTAACTGTTGTTAATTAAAATCACACTGTTGATATGTTAGACTATTGGCATCTTGGAAGGCATTGAGTCTCACATTCAAAAGGCTCACCCATTAACACATCGGAGGAGCAAAAGAAAACCCCCCAAAAATAGAATGCAAATATCACATCATCATTGGAGGAAAACTTCATTTAGGACTCTGATTCAGACAAACCACTAGTATTCTTAAATAATAAATAAAGTATTATTGAAATCTATGCATGTGCAACGCATGTCGTGTGTTGCTAGTATTCTTAAATATATACGTAGGTAATGTATCCTTAAGATTAAGAGTTTCTCCGATAATATTCTCCACATCTTTTTTAAAGTAAAGAACATCTTTGACAAAAAGTTGAAATACGGAGTAAAATTTTATATATGACTTCAATAGATTTTTTTTATTCTTATTATTTTATGCTTTGTCTTTTTATAGGATTAAATAGCTAGAAGATGGAATAGATTCATCTTGGAATTGGGTTGAAGATTGAAAACTTTCATCCATTTCATAGACATTTTCATTGCCATGAAATGGGAAATCCATTTAGTTGCTGTAAAGCATGAGGTTATTAAATAAAAAAAATAATACTTTACAGGAATAAAACATGAGGCTTCTAGGAACTTTACTGCATGTATTAGACACTTAGAAGAAATTTAGGCAAACAAAGGAAAAAAAATCATATGCACAGATCGATACAATCCATATTACTGTACACAATTAATTTAATCTTCTTAGCTAGTCAAATTGGAAAGCCACAGTTCATCGCCAACTGTACATGAACCTAAAAGTAACGAAATATAATAAGTATATGATACGAATTGATGAAATATATATCTATACTAATTATTGCCCGTACCTAAGGGCATAAAATAATAAAAAATTATAAATTATAAACATATTTGTATTCACATCTAAAATTAAAACACAAACGTAGAGAAAAGAGAAAATATAATTTAAGCACTGGTTATAGTGGGACTGAGCGGTGGTAGTAGTGGTGGGCGGTGACGATCGTGGTGGTGGTGGTGGTAGCCGTGAGTGACAATAGTGATGGTGGTGGGGCGACGACGGTGCTGGTGGGGTGGTGATGATGCTGGTGGGTGTGAGTGGTAGTGAGCGACGACGGGTGCTTGCAGGCGACAATGGTGGTGGGTGGTGGCGAATGACGTGGTGGGATGATGGTTAAAAATATAAGAATGAAATGTTGATGGTGGTGAGTGGTGACAATGGTGGTGGTGTTAGTGGTGGGGCAGTGGTGGTGGTGGTGGTAGTGGGGTGGCGACGGCAGTAATGGTGGTGAAGTATTTTGTAGAGAAATAATTTTAAAGAAGTACACCTTATTTTTTTTTACTTTTACTTACGTATTTAAGTGGTACAATTACTTTTAACTTATTTAAAATTAATTAAAATAAATTGTTTCAAATACTCCTTATTTTTTTTAAAGTGCTTATTAGAAGTCATAATTTTTAGAAACACTTTTAAAAAGTTACCTTAAACACATCTTTAGATGCTTTATTTTCCCTATTAAATTTAGGGAGTTAATATTAGCCATCAAATTAATTCTAAAATAAAATTTAAAACAATTTCAATTACGAAATACAAAACTCATTTTTTATGGTTGATTATATATATACACATACACCTATATAAAATATGTATTATGTACACATACGAGAGGCCAACTTGAGGAATGGAATCCAGCTATGAGTTCTTAATATTGCTGGAATGGAATCAATGGAGAATCAATCGGCAAGAGAAACAACTCTTTACAAGGGAATCATAGCCTTGTTTTATTGCATGCGGGGCAAATCTCTTTCGATTAGATTGTTTTTTCTATGTTCCAACCATGTGGTCAAAACATTAGCAAAACAATGGATTAAGAGATTCCAACATGACCAAGAGTACTGAAACAACTTACTGAAACAACTTCGAATCAAGAATGATTCTCGAATGACTTAAGGATGAGGCACAAGCATGATGGCCAAAGTTTAAATCTCAACATATATATATATATATATATATATATATACACACACACACATACATACATTCATCATTTTTTTTTATTAAAAAATGTCCAGACTTGTGCCGATTATTCATTCGAACTCAACGGCTGTCCACTGTGAATTGAGTTGGATTAGAACATATTTTTAAAGAGACAAGAGTGATTAGCCTTTAGATGTGTTAGAAACGATTAAACTAGAGATGTTTAGATTACGAAATGCTAGACTCAACAGTGGAGGTACCCCGAAGGGTTAGAATCTAGTCATATTCATTGACATATTACATTCTGTAATTCGGCATATATATCCTATCACAAAGCATGGCCGCTACAAAAGTCCAACACCATACGTCTTTGATCACAATTATCTCCGAAAGATTCTATTCCCTCATTGTTGAAGCTAAACAGTCAGTCATCAACACACT